TTCAACGCCAGCCCTGCTTGGAGCCATGCTCTTCAAGAGCAGGCCTTGACCTAGGTCCCAAACCAAGCCCTGGCCCTACCCACACTGAGCGATGGATGCCTCAGGCAAAACCCCGTGAGGCATTTCACCTGTGGATCTTTCTCTCAAATAAGAGGCAGCTCTGTGCTCCATTCCCCACCCTACAGTGCCAGGGGGCAGGGACCAGTCTGCCAAACACAGAGGATAGAAGGTGGAACCTGAGCCCCAGTGTGTCTGGGAGGGGACTCTCACTTTTCCTGGCCCCGGTTGGGATCCGGAAGCTCAAGGTCTTAGCTCTGAACAGTGTCAGGGCAGCAAACAAGTCCTTTGATTTCTGGTGACCAGAAATGGAGGAACCGCTCCTGCCAGTCCCCATAGGGGCCTCCAGGAGCTGGGAGAATCTGGAGATGACCAGGGTCCAGTCCCTAAGAGCTGGGAGCCTTCTCCTTTGCCCCCTTTCCCTGCAGCCATGGGCCCCACCCCCCAGTTGCCCTGCCCTGCAGCCCAGGCCCTGGCCCTGCAGAGACGGTCAGTCCCCACAGGTCACTGACCCAGGCGCCTGACCTTCCACCCAGGTCTAAGGTTCGCATGTGCACACATGAGAAGCCTTACACATCTGCCAGCCTGCATACGACACACTTGTGTACATGCCAGCTCTGTTCACCTGCACACGCAACCTAGCAGAGGTGGGTGCCTGGCTGAGCGGCTTGTTACACACGTGAGTGTCTGCTCTGTGCCAGGCACTGTACTAACCACTTCATAGTGTGACAAGTTCCATCTTCACAACAAACCTCCGAACAGGGTCTATTATTACCCTGCTTCACAGATGAAGAAAGGGAGACAGAGGAAGCGTCATTACGTTGAGGATGTTCAGCGAGGGAGAGCGAGAGCTGGGCTCATGATCCTCATTCCCACCCTCCCCCACTGCCGGCCTCCAGGGGCAACCTTCTAGGCTTCAATTCCTCACCTGGAACATGGAATAGGATCACCCCTTCTAGCAAAGGGGGTTGGGGTCTGGGGAGAGGGGGTGTGTGTGTCCATAAAGCCCTGGAGACATGCCTGATGGATGGTCAACACCATTTTTTTGCATACACACCGATCTTTGCTCACTTGCATGCTCACACACACACAGGCTCTCACTCACCAGCTCATACCACTCACACTCCAGTGCACACACAGGTGCCTGAGGCACCCGCTACCTTTTGGGCACGGGTGGTCTGGAGGACAGCCAGCAGCGAGAGCAGGACCAGCACGATGCCACAGGCACGGGCAGGGCCTGGGGGCTTCATTTGGGCTCCAGTGCCTGGCAGGCTGCTTCTGAACTTGAGAGGAAGTGGGGAATGAATTAGTAACCTCCTTGCTGCTCCGCCCCTCCAGGGGCAGGTTCCAGAAAAATTGGAATTAACAAGCCAAACCTTCAGTGGACTCAGATAAGTGAATGTCCTGTGGACCTTGGCTGAGGAAAGACACGTGCACAATAAGTCCTCAGTGTCATCAGGATAGGTTCTTTGAAACGGCAACTTTAAGTGAAATGATGTTCACCTTAGAAACGAGTTCACGTCCTGAGGCCTATTTCTGGTCACAAAAACATCACCACATTTCTATATAAAAATCCAAAATGTTGAAATCAGTGTGAGCTACACTTATATTTAAGAAAGATTCATAAAACCAAGTGAGATCATGCTTTTCCAACTTGCTTATTCCAGTTTAGGGGTTCAGATGCCCAAAGCCTCTCCCAGCAGCTCAGGGTGTAAAAGGTGAGACCCCAACCTGGACAGGACACCCCTCCATCGAAGGTCACACTGACACACACCCACACTAGACTGGAACGATGGATACACACTGGTTCATCTCACGTGCACATCTTGGGGATGTGGGAGGAAACCATGGAGAAAACCCACAAAGACATGGGGAGGCCACATAAACTCCACACAGTGGCCCCCACTAGAAATTGACATTTTTTCTCATCAACATGATAACCGAAAGAGGCTGAATAAAACGACATTATTCCAGGACCTGCTATACTGAGGAAAGGCAGGCTCAGGTGGGAGCTAGGTACTGGCATGCCTTCTGAAAGGTCTAGATTAGAACCTTCCCAGGTCATCATTACCCTTTACACCAGTCGGTCCACCAACAAGCGCCCTGGGGCTTGGGGACACAACAGCGAACCAGCCCACTCTCCATCAGCCCAGCCTGGAGGAGACAGAGGAGTGGCTGGGAAGAGGAGGGCGGGGGCAGCTTCTGGGAAGAAGGAGCCTGCAGGCCAGGTTGGTGTGACTGGGCAGTGGGGCCCTACAGGCCCTGAGCACTCCTTGGGGTGTCTGAGTGGGGCAAGATCTGCTGGGGTCAAGGCAGGGTGGGTCTGCCTTATTTCTGGGGTGAGAGAGGCTGGGCCCAGGAGACCCTTCTCTCTCCTGGGGCCCCAGACTGCTGTTCAGGCCCCATTAACCTAGCCAGGGCTCTGGGTGCAACTCCAGCTAGGCCCCCAACACAAGACCTGCACTTTGGCAATACAAAACGAGAGCCAAAAAGATGCCACGCCTTGTGGCCCAGAGGCCTCCCTCTGGGGAATTTACTGAACGTGTGGAATAAACAAGAAGGGACAGAGCTCCTGCAGGGGGCGATTCCCTGTGGTGGCCTGTACACACAGGTGACCTGCATGGAGGTCAGTCATGACAAGGGATCCATGAGTCATGGATTGAAGGGGAAAGGGCAGATGGCTGCTCTGTCAGCACACCAAGGCAGTGCCCTTGTCACGAGCTCAGACCCATGGAGGGTGGCTGGCCCCAGGGGGTAGGATTACTGATGACTTTAGATTTTCCTTTAATAAAGTTGAAATGATTTTTTAAAAAATTAGTTTTAGAGGAAGGGAGGCAGGGAGAGAGGGAGGGAGAGGGAGGGGGAGAGAGAAAGGAAGAGAAAGAGACATGGATGTGAGAGAGAAACATGTACCGGCTGCATCCTGCAGGCACCCGCACCGGGGATCAAACCCCCCACCTTTGACGACTCTCCAACCAACTGAGCCATACCAGCCAGGGCTAAAGTGGAAAAGCTCTTAAAACAAACAGCAATAAAATGAATAAATAACAGGATCCCGACGCTGCTGGTGCGTGCCCCGGTGGTTCGGGGAAAGCCTAGCCCCTGGGCCCGTGGCCACAGACGGGGTAAAGATGCTGCAGACAAGCGTGGCGGGTGCCACATCCCAGGCTGGGGAAGGACTCCTGACACTCGCCTGGGGAGGGAGAGGGGCAGTTATCTTGGGACCCTGGGCAGTGATGGGCCTGCAGAGGGCTGGGAGGGGTCTTCTCCATCAGCCCTGCGGTGGCCCTGGGGGAAGGGCATCCTGGACTTTGGAGCTGCCTGTGGCTGCTCCCCTTCCTTCTGGGGACTCCAGCCAGAAGCCTCATCTCTGTGCATAACGGCACCGCTCGCCCTTTGGCTCTGATTGGCATCACACAGGGGGACATACCGCCATCGACACGCTGGGGGAAGAGCCTCCCAAAGGAGCCCAGTGAGCTGGCCCAGGCCCTGTCCCCACAGAAGGTCTGCTCCCTCAGGGCGGAGAACACAGGCCCAGCCTGGAAACAGCTATATAAGGAGGCCAGGCTAGGCCGGGACATGGGAAAGGCTCAGAGCAGCCAGCTCCACCTGCCCAGGGGAAGGGCAGGGCTTCCCTACGGGCACAGCCCTCAACCAAGCATGGGAGCCCAGGCCCTGCCAGCCCAGCCCTGGGCTGTCCGTGGTCTTGCTGTCACAGCTGGACAGGCCTCTGTACTTCCTGAATCTGAGAGCTCCATGCACACAGGGGACACTGAGGCCTGAAGAGGAAAGGATCTCACACAAGCCCAGAACCCAGACTTCCCAGGCCTCAGGCAGAGCTGTGGGAGGGACAAGGGGAGGTTCACCTGGAGTTGGGAGGGGGAGCAGCTCAGGAAGCAGACTGCCACTGGCCACAGGAGCCTTGACGTGGCTTTGTCTGTGAGGGATGCAAGATGGTGAGGAGGCGGAACAAGGGCGCAGGGGGAGGCGGCCTGCAAGGTCCCTGGCTCTTGCAGAGTCTTGGGGTCCTGAGGAGCCTCTCGCTGGCTTCTGTGGAAGGCAGGGGGAGGGGCAGCCCAGGCCCACCTGCTTCACTCTGTACACGTGGCCTGTTTTGTGCCCTGGGCCTCAGCTCACCTCCCTTGTCACAGACAAGGGGAAACTGAGCCTCAGAAGAGGGGAGATGGTCTGAGGTCACACAGATCAGCACCAGGTCTCCACGCCCCAGGCTCTTGCGAGGATGGGGCAGTGGCAATAGCACCTCAGGATCATAAGGACCCTCCCAAAGACATGGGGGGTACAGACCATGCCCACCCGCACGCAGGGGCCATGCCAGTTCCCAAGGATACTCTCCAAATGCCGGGGCTGCTTGGGCATCCTCTTTATTGGTGTTTCCCAGGGCCTGGCGCAGAGGGCCTGGGCTGAGAGGCCAGAGTGAGGGGGAGGGTGGCAGTCCCAGAGGCAACAGGGGAGCAGGGGAGTGGTGGCATGAAAGAGTTCTTGGGAGACTCCTTTGTCTAGGTGTTGTCAGTGCCCAGGGGGTGGCGTGGCATGTACTTCTCAGCCAAAGACACTCTTGGCAGGCCCAGCTTTCGGCTTATCAAAGACGGTCTCAGTGCCGGTCCGGGTGCGGCTGAACACAGATGGTGCGGCAACGCCGGCTTGCTCTGCGGGCAGGATGGGGAGGTCAGAGGCCCAGCCCAGCCTCCTGGTGAGGGAAAGCCTCTTTGGTGGGGAGCCCCTGAGCTCTGGATTCTTAGAAAAGATCCATAGGAGCCCCCATCCTACCCCCTCCTACTGACACACATCTGCACCCCCTCGGCCCCCAGTCCCCTGAGAACACTCACCACACTCCTGCATGACCTGGTAGGTCTTGGACTTGATCGCCTGGTTCTTGGTCAGGTTCCCTCGGGCCCCCTTCAGGTCCTCCTCCTTCACAGGGGGGCGCTTCTTCTTGATGGGGGCTCCCTCGGGGCCAGCCTTGGAGAGACCAGAGCCTCTTAGAACCCAGGCCTTCAGGCCGAGACCCCTTCGTTCCCACCTCTCCCTGCTCACTCAATTCAAGCCAGTCCAAGGCCCCATTCATCCAGGAAACCTTCCAGACGATGCCTCACCCCCTGACCCCCAACCCTGAGTCTGTCTGTCCTTTTCCACAGGCTGGGAGCCGTGGCCTCACACTGTGTGCCTGGCCAAGCTCGAGCTTGGGCACAGTGGGCAAAGGGGAAAGGCGCTCGCTCTGAGGCTGAATTCCAGGCTTTCGGTGAATGCCAAGACCTGCTCTCCGGGTGGTGGCAGGGGGTCCCTTAGGTTTGCCCCTCTCCTCCCAAACTGCCAGGATTTACCTTGCGGGCTCTGGAGTGGAAACGGGGTAGAGGGATCAGATGCCCATGAAGTCACATTCCCGTCAGCATCTACCCATGGAGCAGACTGGTCTGTCCCTCCAGAGCTGGGACACCCAGCCTCAGTGTCTACCCTCCCTCAACCCCAGGTGCCTGGGAGTCTGAGGCCTTCCTCCTTCCTAAGCCCTAGGGGCAGGTGCAGACTCCCTGGTCCCTGAGCCTGGGCTGGGCTCCTGGGCAACACAGTATACCCTACAGACACACATCCTGCTGGAGACACCCGGGCAGAATGTACACCCACAGATCCAGCCTCACATGTACACACACACACACACAGCTATAAACGTGCACAAACTGCCAGTTCCGCGAGCAGCTTCCTCACACACAAGATCTAGAAGTACCACCCATTTTCCCTACCCCTCCTAACAAGCCACGGAATGCCATAAACCCCAGCTGAACAGGGTCCCTCAGATAAGGTGGGCGGGGACTCCCCACCTCCCAGGGGCTGCAGAGCTCCTGTGTTTATGCCTGGAGCTCAGCTCAAGACACAGCTGCCAGAGATGATGGTGTCCAGCTGTCCACCCCCCACCCCCAACCCCCACCGCACCTACACACCGTGCTGGGCCCTCCTACCTGGGACATGGTGGGTGCTGAGTGAGAGCTGCTCCGAAGGCTCCTCTCTGGCAGCAGTAGCTGGTGGGAGAGATCTGGGTGCCCAGCCCTCCGGAGCTTATATAGTCCACTTGCCCGTCCTGGGAAGTCACTCCCCCCCTGCTCTGACCGACTCCCCGACCCCGATGATTCAGGTCCACACAGCCACTGGCTTCAGAGTTTATTCTCGGAGATGATAGGGGATCGCTGAGCACTTCTGCCCAGGGGGCTGCGGCCCTGGTGACAGACAGCTGGGGAGCCTGCACCCTCAGAGACAGCTGCTCTACTTCCAAGCGGGAGGTGCTGGGACTGGCAGCGACTCGTGTTTATGAATGTGGGTGCTGGAATGTGTGTGGCAGGAGGGGCTGTCCATCTGTGACAGTCCATCCCAGGCTGACCGCTTTGGTCTTGTTTTTCTTTCTATTCTACCCCTTCCGATTCCAGAGGAAAGACACCCGCCCTGCACAGCAGCAGGGTGGGCCTCCCTGACTGCCTCTCGCGAGCTCTGCTCACTGCGAGTTCCCTGGGCTCACGGTGGAGCACAGGGCACCCCTGGGTCACGGGTGGAGACTGCGGCCACAGGAAGCCTGGGGAACTCTCCATCTGTGGCCCTGCTGATGCCCCGTCCTTTGTCTGGCTCCCCGAGCACGTTCAGCAAAGGGATGAAGAGCATAAAGGACCAGGAGGAAACCGTACTTTGTGGCTGAGGGTGAGCTGATGGCAGGAACAGCACTGAGCCTCCGAGACAAGGTCACCGAAAGGCCCCTGACCTGGGACACTAGGCTGCTGAAGAGGCTGAAAGACAGTGAAGCCCACTGCAGGCACTGGCCTGTGGAGGGAGGGGCAGGCCAAGAGCTCCCACAAGGGCCACTTAGTTCTCTGCTGCTAGCTCCCAATACCTGTCCTCGAAGGGAAGACCCCCGCAGGACTCTAGGCCTGGGGTGGGTGTGGGCAGTAGTGTGAGGTTATTTTTATACTCAAAGGCTCCAAGCAGACGGGACCCAACCAGGCTGACATTTGGTCACTCCTCAAACCCCACCCAAATCCCCTCCTGCCTGGTCCTGACCCCGGAGTCCAATGCGAAGACTGCTAGGCTCCATCTGAGACGAGTGCTGACATGAGGAATGCCTTCGGACAGCTATGGGCAGAGACCCATGGCTCCGAACAGGGCCAAGAGACACCGAGGGCAGACCCGGTCTATGAGGGCCCAGCTCCCCAATGAGTGCTTCATCACTGTCCCCCCAGCTGGCTCTGCCCCCTAGCTGGCTCTGCCCCCCAGCTGGTTCTGCCCCCCAGCTGGCTCTGCCCAGGGAGGCACCTGCCTTGTAGGCCCGTGGCCTCAGGGACAAGGCTGTGGGATGCTCACTCCTCACACTCCATCTCCCAGCACCACTTGCTCCCCAGGGAAGCTTTTACTCACATTAGCAGGGAAGTGGAAATGGTAAGAGTATGTTGGGGTTTTCTTCTCAGCAGATTTTGGTTCCCACATCTGCTACGAGGTGATGTAAGGTCCGCTTGCACTGTTTCTTGGGGAGAACCTTCCAACCCACTGGGGAAATTTTCTTGACCCCACTAAGCTGTTTCAACTTAAGAGAACACACACCAACAGCCACAAAAGTGATGGCTTCTTTAAAAAAAATGTAACAAGACATCAAATTTTATTGTAAACCATTTTATAATATAAGTACATTGTCTTCCCTTTTATTTCAAAAATGTGTTTTTGTGAATCGTAACACCACCGATTAAACACCCCTTAGGCAGACAGTGGAAGTAGGCCATGGTTTGCTCACATAGGTCCGGCTTCTAATAAACTTCATGAAAAGAGAAACCAAGTTAAACCGATCCACCACCCAGGAGCTCAAGGTGCCGACGACAGTTGGACCAGAGGTTCCCTCGCCGAGAACAAAGCCCTTCAGGCCACCAACATCCCACAGGGTAAACAGAGCGCTCTCCCCTCCTAGTTGCAAGTGTGTGAAGTTCCTAAAAGCTGCCTGACACCCTACAAAGTGGCTGCCCTGGCTGGTAGGGCATCCCCAGTGCCACCTATGCTGGTCCGGATGCAAAAAGGCCAGTGAACTGCAGTGTGGAGGGCAGAGTGGGCCGCAGCCCTGGGGCCCCTTCAGAGGGGACTCTGGGCAGCAGCCACGGCCTACACTGCCGAGGGGAAGACACAACTTGGATTGGAGCCGTTATATATTTTCCCTGTAGAGGTGTGAGAGGCCAACCTTAACCCAGGACTCCCTGTTGCCAGGAAGGGGCGCAAGTTAAACCTTGAGGCGGGCAGCCACCAGCGTGCCCGAGGGTGAGCCGAGGGGCCACAGACCTTCGCCTTGCAGGTCTGCAGGCTGCAGCCACGGCTACCTGGGCCTCACCAGCACCCCTCCTTACATTCCCGTAGCACAGACAGCAAAAGGAAAGAAGGGCCACAAATGGAAGGGTCTCTTCCATTCGGATGCGGCAGTTCCACCTCATCAGGTGATTTCCATTTGTTACAAGGAACTTGTCCAAGACCCTGACTTACAAGTTCCCATCATGGTTGTCTTGGCCAAGGTCCAGATTCTGACAAATGAGACGGACGGTGGACAATGCCCAGTCGGTGTCCTGTTGTTTCTCAAGCACAGTGATGCTTGTCATGTGGCTGGAGAGCTGCACCTCATAAGGCACCTTGGAGCAGGTGGTGAGGACATTTGCCCAGGGAGGGAGGACAGCTCGGGAGGAAGTCCTGACAGACCCTCTGCGTCCGCTCTCCCCGGGCAGCTCCACAGAAAGCCCCTGTGACGCAGGACGCACTCCCATAGAAATGATGTGTGCATGTGCATGTGTGTGTGTGTGTGCATGTGTGTGCATATGTGTGCATGTGTGCATGAGGCCATGCTGTCCAGGCCCACACAGCGCAAGGCCCTCCGTGGTCAGACACCATCCCCTAGTTAGCCAGCTACGCAGCTGCAGCTCCGAGACCAAAGCCCTTACTGAAGATCAGGATACAGGGAGAAACCACCACGCACTCACAGCCTCTTTCCCCCTCCAAACCCACTACCCAGTAGGCGCTGGGACGAGCCTTGAGATGGGCAGATAACCTGAGTCTATATGACCCAGTTTCCATCTTTCACGGACTATGGTCCTTCTACCCCAGGGGTGGGCAAACTTTTTGACTCGAGGGCCACAATGAGTTCTTAAACTGGACGGGAGGGCCGGAACAAAAGCATGGATGGAGTGTTTGTGTGAACTAATATAAATTCAAAGTAAACATCATTACATAAAAGGGTACGGTCTTTTTTTTTTTTTTAGTTTTATTCATTTCAAACGGGCCGGATCCGGCCCGCGGGCCGTAGTTTGCCCACGGCTGTTCTACCCCGTCTCCAGTTTGGACACATTAGGAACTCGAGACTGAAAATGAAACTCTGATTCTGAGCTCAGAAGGTACAAGAAACAGCTGTGGACACAGGTTGCTCAAATCAAAATGAGCTCTAACTGGTTTGGATCAGCGGATAGAGCGTCTGCCTGCAGACTAAAAGGTCCCAGGTTCAATTCCGGTCAAGGGCATGTACCTGGGTTGCGGGCACATCCCCAGTAGGGGGCGCGCAAGAGGCAGCTAAATCGATGTTTCTCTCTCATCGATGTTTCTAACTCTCTATCCCTCTCCCTTCCTCTGTAAAAAATCAATAAAATATATTTTTTTTAAAAATGAAATAGGAGCAAAAAGTAAGGAGAGGCAGTGATGCCACGAGGGACTACTGTCTAGGAACACCAGTCCCGGTCCTCCCAAATGCCAGTTCTAGTGAGGAGAAACCCACCAACACAGCCAGGGGATGGGAGGGGCGACAGGAGCAACAGGAGAGCAGAAGCGATGTGAGAAAGGAGACCCTCTTCAATCTCACACGAGGCCCCGCCCCGCCTCGCCTTGCCTCGCCTCTTCTCTCCTGCTGCAGTCACAGGTCGGGCCCCCTCAGCCCTCTGGCCTGGGGACTCCTAGGGAAGATGGGTGTGAGGCAGAGGACAAGCCCGGGATGCCTGGCTTAACAGCTTCCCCACATGTGACAATTCAGATCCAATCTTCCTAAGTGAAGACGTTTTTGTGTAGGTCTAGACCAGCTGTGGGCAAACTACGGCCCGTTTGAAATGAATAAAACTAAAAAAAAAAAGACCGTACCCTTTTATGTAATGATGTTTACTTTGAATTTATATTAGTTCACACAAACACTCCATCCATGCTTTTGTTCCGGCCCTCCCGTCCAGTTTAAGAACCCATTGTGGCCCTCGAGTCAAAAAGTTTGCCCACCCCTGCTCTAGAGAGAAGGTTCTTGGCGGTGTGGCCTCCCTGCACCTGCCTCACTTTCAGCTCACACCTCAGCAGCGGGTATTCTGTTCCTAAACTTCCATGGCTGCCTCGGGCTTGATATAACACTGGGCAGCTCCACCTCGCTGCATCCACAGCAGGGCAAGTGCCCCGTCAGCCCAATCCACTGCCAGTCAGCAGACTCCCAAAGCCACCGGGGCCCCTGCCCAGGCTGAGTGGGGGCCACTCCCTGGGGGATGGGGGGGGAACACAGTTAGAAGCACCTTGTCCTGGCTGTGGATGCAGCCACCCCCCTGCCTGGAGTATGTGAAAAACAGGACCATCTGGTCAGGCAGGTGTTCTCCAGACTCTTGTGCAAAATAAATGGACGCGATAACAGGTCGGGGCAGCCTGACCTGGAGCCGGGTCCAAAGGCTGGTTCTGAAGGCTGCGCCAGGGGAGGCATGGAGGCCGAGGCGACATTCTAAACCGCAGACTTGGAGGTGCTGAGGAGAGGCGAGGAACAAACAGCACTGGCCTTGCAGCCTCAATTTCTCTGGACACTAAGACCTCTTAGCCCCTTTTCTTGGTCCAATTTAACTAAGACCTCTGCCCTGCCAGCAGGAAGGCCAAGGAGCCGCAGGGCCTGGCATGCACAGGGGCACTGGACCCACGTCTGGGCCAGCTGCCTCCTGCTCGGGCCCGACCTTTACAGACCCACTGAGTTTGCTGACCTCCGATAAGGACCCATCTCCGTTCCTACTGTGTTCGCTACCCTATCTTATCACAGATTACCTAACAATATTGCAAATAAAAAACCCTCGGCTTCTTCCTCCCACCATCCCATGAAAGGCAAACGAACCCATTTCTTTGGGGGTTAAAAAGACTTTTTAAATACAATAGTATGAAAATATAACTTAAAAATATAAAAGTCAACAGCATACGGAAGACTTAAAAATCTATGTTTTGCCCATTAGTCCCATAGGAAATAAACACATACTCAAAAAACATGAACACTGTGACATCTCGTAAAACCGGCTTTAGAAATCAAGAGTTATAAAAGCCATTTTGAGTAAGAAAGCACTGCGGTTCCAACTCCGTCAATGAGTGACTTTTAGCCCCAAACCTGTTATGTCTTCACTCCCCGGCCCTGGGGAGAGGCTCTACCCAGTCTGTGTGCGCGTGAGCTTTTTCCTCATGGCCACCCCGCCAGACACCCGACAGGGCTCCGGGGTCCCTCACAACAACATCGGACGACAACAAAGGAAGAAAACGCCTGGCTTGCATATTTGGTCAGTGTTTGTAGTGCAACTGAGTGGGGACCTCCAACAGCCGCGACCCGCTCGGCGCTGGCTCTTCCTCCCTCTCTCCAGTCACGGTCCGGTCGCTGGGAGTGGGCAGAGCGTGAGGACGGAGGTAGAAGAGGAGGGAGAGAGGAGGGGAGGAAGGAGGCTGCAGAGCAGCCGGGCCCCCAGACCTGACCCGCACAGGATGCGTCATACAGGCAGCCCGAAGCGGTGCTTCTTTTTCTTCGCAGGCCTCAGGGGCGTCAGTCTGCAGAGGTCCTCCTCCACGTCGGACTCCTCCATCTCGTCATCGGCCGAGATCAGGATCTGGGGCAGCGGAGAGGCACGGCCCTGCGTCACCGCCAGCGGTGCCTCTTCCTCTGCCCTCCCTGGACCCCGGCACGGGGTGCCAGCCCCTCCAGGAGGCCTCAGTCTTGTATTTCTTTAGAAGAGCGTGACGGGAGGCTACTTTACGGAGGGGGACAAGCTGGCCCACCCCACACCCCTCCACGGGCTGCTGAAACCATGGCTGAGTGGACACGAGCACGCCTAGCGCCTCAGCCTGGATCGCCAAGCCCTCGCCCATCGGGCTCAGACCTCCGCCTCCTCTGTCATCCTGGCCGACCCTCCGAGTCCCTGCTGCTCTGGCCGTCACCCACATGACCCGCTACGTGACCACGTCTGCTCCTCCCTGCACAGAGGCTGCCTGCAACGCTGAGCCTCATCTCAAGTTCACGGAGCGCCTACAACACGACCGGCCCAAGCCAGATGCCAGGGTTCCCCGTTCTGCCATCTATTCCGCTTTCAGATCTCCCTCAGGAAGCCCAGGAGTGACACGGACTGCCCCAGGGTCCTCCCAGGGTTCTGCCAACGCCTCACCAGCAGACCTTGTAGTCATGCTGAGCTGTCCAGGCACCGCCTTCTCCTCCCCGCCTATGGCGGCCTCTTGGGGGAGACACGCTCTCGGCCATTTCTGAAGCCCCTCGCAGCGCCCTGGGCAGCACCGGGGGAGCTGAACAAGGGCCCTCACGGGGCAGCCTGCCCCGCGGCAGCACCGAAGTGGCACGTGGGTGCCGCCAGCTGCCCGGGACACACAGCCTGGCCTCGCGCTCCTATTGATGACCAGGAGTCTCCCTCAGGCCCAAATCTTCAAGTTAGGAAACTTGAAAATAAGAGATGAGGACCCCTACATTTCAGAAGTTTCCAGCTGGCTCAGCCAACACTTCACTTGCTTGTTAGTGGTTCAGGGAGTGAAACCCCTCGATGCTTCAAGGCCACAGTCAGGCCCGTGAGAGGCCTTGACAGCGTCCCTGGCACAAGGCAGTTCCTCCCTTTCCTGTCTTTCTCCACTGGCGTGGGGAGCCCGGGGGGAAGCCACCCTGAGTAGGGCCTCCACCTTCCTGCCCTGGGAAGACTCACGGGGCAGCAGGAAGGGGTCCAGGCGGAAGGGGAACCGTCTCCCTCCCCCGGCTGACGTGAGACCCCTCAGGTCAGCAGCACGAGGCTCGGCCCTACCTCCGACTCCGACTCCTCGTGGGATGCGGCCCTTCGGTAGCGGACCTTGCTCCCATTCCTCGAGTCCTGGTTGGCTCCCCTTTCCTCCAGTTTAGCTTTCGTCCTCCCCTTTCTCATGAGGAAATTGTCCACTACCCAGAACATCAAAGCCTGTAGGGAGGAAAGGTAGATTACTCGGGGATAAGCCATGTGTGAAAGCAAAGCAGGGCAGCCCCCACACCCCATCCTTCCCACCCCACTCCCGATGACAGCACTGACCAGGCAGAGAAAAACCTTATCCATGCCCCCTATCGCTCAGAAGCTTAAAGAGAGAGTCCTCATCTCTATCTCCTTGGCTTTCTTATCAGAGAAAACCCTGCCCTCTTTATCCCCAGGGTTACTGTGGTGGTAACTGATGAGACAGCCTGCCTGGGGCCTGGCCCCAGCCACTGGCGGAGTGGGGCCTGGGACCAAGTCCCCCGGCTCCTCCCTGGGCCGGTCGGCCAGCACTCGGTCACATCTGTCAAACCCAGGTTCCTTTACGGTTTCTTCTCGTATCTCCTAACTGCTAGCCGGTGTGCCTGTGAGTTTCTCTTGAAACTCTGTGGTGAGAATAGCTGACATGATTCTCACCGAGAAGTCGCTGTCACACAGGTGGGAACCTCGGCTGGAGGCCACCGGGCAGGGAGGGCAGGACGAAGTCCCTAGGACTCTCTTCCTTGCACAGAGGCCCTGGGGCAGGGATCTGCCTGGCGAGGCAGCCATCCCACCGTGCCATTTCCAGGTCAGGTGGGGCTGGGGAGCTGACAAATGCTCACTCAGAGGGACCCGAGAGCGGTCGGAAGGCAGGGCGCTAACTGGGGTAAAAAAAATGCAACATGGCACTGACATTGACAAAGAAGGGGACGATCAGCATGACGATGGCCAGCTTCAGGTCTGGGTTTTCAATGGGATTCAACAGGGCCACCTGGAAAGAGAAGCAGACTCTGTGAGGTGGGGGGAGGCCACAGAGAAAGTGCTAGGAAGGAGGGGCCCTTAGGTCAGATATTCACCCCAGCACCTCACACCCAGGGCTGCACAGTCCCCAGGTTTGAAAGCTGACGAGGGACCCTCCTGGAGACCACCGGAGCAGTCAGTGCTCCCTGTGGTGAGGACGTGGGCAGTGAGGTCACGTCAGACACCACCACTGAGGTGCCAGACCACTTTCTCACCAAAATCCTGCACCCCCACCACCTCCTGGACTATGGCTCTATAACGCCTTGATTTGTTTTCTTAAAAAATAAAACTCAGCCACAAATAAAGCCAAAGGATGGCAGAGCCATCTGTTTGCAAAGGCCTGTGGGCATGTGGAGGAAGGAGGCAGTGAAGGTTTATCTACACTGGGCCGGGGCCAGAGGGCAGAGGGCAGAGGGCAGGGAGGAGATAACCTGGGAACAATGTGTGACCAGCTGCTGCCTCTGGCACCCAAGGGCTCAGTTAACCTTGGCCAGGAGAGATGTGTGAAGAAGGCATCTGCAGATGTAATGAACACCTGCCTGACACTCGGTGTTGCAAGGCCTGAAGACTAATATCGGACAGGACTGTATTTTCACGGGATTTATATACGTGTCCCATTGGCTTAATCTGGAGCAGATGTCTGTGTCATTGAAGTGGATGGTGCGAAGTAAAAAAACTGACTCGTTACTGCTCTTGTTAGGTAGCCAGCAGCTGCCATATCAGACCAAATCAAGGGTCTCCTTATGGAGCTAAAAACAAATAAACCAACCACAAATTTGGTTTTCCAAGCGGGCTGGTGTGGCAAGGGGAAGGAGTACTGTCTTAGTGTCTCAGAGAGCTAATGAAGAGGCAAGAGGCAAACCTTTTTCCACTGAAGTATCAGGAGGATGATGAAGACGACAGCTTTTTCAAACATCATGATCACGATGTACAGCGCACACTGGCCGACCCAGGCTCCGCACTGCAGAGGGTCTCCTGCCGGGAGAGTGGGCGCTCGGTCACGCAGCTCAGAGTGGGATCCAGGCTGGCGACGCCTCCCCCCCACTCCCCACAGCCCTGCCCCATGCCAGAACCCCGACTCTAAAGCTACTCAATGAACCCCCAAAGCACCAAGAATCACCTCTGCCCGGACCGACAAATGTGGGTGTTTAAAACAAAACCAGAGAATTCCTAATTTGGAGATACCAGAGTGTCTTTTCTTTCAAGAGATTCTAAGACATAATTAAAACGCATCAAGTTAGTGAGTGCCTGTTGCTAGAGCTCAGACGCTGGCTCTGTGTGTCCGCTGGCAGCAGGAGCTGTGTTAAGCAAGACTGCTATTATTACCCACTGTTGATTTTTCCAGTGACTGTGGTGCTGCCCCCCACCCCCCCGCCCCTCACCCTGA